GTGTGTGTGTGTGTGTGTGTGTGTCCGCAGCAACTTGTCCGCAACTTTCAACTTGGGAACCACAAAGCTAGGAAGCTGAAAATTTAGGGGAACGTTCCTCACCCATGAGTGACCCCACAAATTTAAATTCAGCTTCCCCGTACCCGTGAATAACAAGTACGGTCCCGTAAAAGTTTAGGCCGCTAAAATTATTACCTCGGGAACCATGGAAGCTAAAAGGCTAAAATCTTCTGGGCATGTTGTTCACTCATGCGCTACCCACAAAAATTTAAATTCAGCTTTTCCCGGCCCGCGGGTAACATGCACGGCCCCGCAAATTATTATCTCGGGTAAATTATTAAATTATTATGTGCGGCTCCGACAGGTAAATTATAATCTTGGGAACCGCAAAGTCTACGAAGCTTAAATTTTAGCGTAATGACCCCTTGCCCATGTTCGATCTTACAAATTCAAATGCAGCGTTCCCGTGCACTCGGGCACCACTTACGGCTTCGTGAAAATTTTAGCGGATAAACTATTATTTCGGGAATCACGAAAGGATATTCACCCTTCAAGGTTTCGAATTCAGCTCCCATGCGCCGGTGCGTGAAATTTTTAACTATCACGAAAAGATATTCATCCTTCAAGGTTTCGAATTCAGTTTTCATACGCTGGTGCGTGAAATTTTTGTCTGGTCTTCTTTTGTTTGAACTATTTTTGCATAGACTAAAGTAAAAAGCAGTGAAAATCATTAACAGGCAATCGTTCGGTGGGCTGGATTGCGCAAAACGCATGGTCGCACCGGTTAGTCTGGGACGCGTTGCTATTTATTACCTCATTTAGCAGGAAAAACCTCACCCCTCACTGGAATCCCCTCCGCCCCCCTCCCCCATCCCTCCCTAACCCATTACCTCACCAACGATTCCAAGCCCCCACAAGTTCAATCCCCATCTCGCCAGACGTACCCTGAGGAATGTACGTGCCGCGAATTACCATAAACGTGCGCGCGTTTTCTTCGTCTCTTATATGTGTGTTCTGTTTTACGGTGGATTAACAGATGTACAAGAGTTCGTGGTACGTGTGGCGCCTCTGGGACGCGGGTACCACACATGTCACTTGGGCGAGCCAAGCGCTTTCGTGATCGGTTGTGCATGACCTCTGGGGTGGTCAGACCGCTTTCG